TTCTTCTTCTTCTTCTTCTTCTTCTTCTTCTTCTTCTTCTTCTTCTTCTTCTTCTTCTTCTTCTTCTTCTTCTTCTTCCAATCCGGCATATTACATTCAAATGGGATGTAAGCTTTATTGATTTCTATGAATCTTCAAAGTCCTTCTAGGTTAATAAGGGGGTGATTCAGAAGTTATTTGCCTAGGTGACTCTTGGTGGAGAAGTAAGAAAAGCTCAGGACGACGGGAGGAGTGATCATCGAAGGCCGAATTGCCCTGCAGTGCAGAGCCAGGCGAGCCGTAACTCTGGAAGCCGCAAGTCCCCGTTCACGGTTTCAGATCAAGAAGCTACCTCGCTCGGTGGTGAGAAAAGGGCCGCTGGGTCGGCATCAGACGAGCGCAAGGCTCCTTCTTTCCCGCTCCGCTTTTCCTCTCCTCTCCTCTCGTCTCTCAGGGGGTCTGGTGGCCCTTCGCTTTGTCGTTTCCTGCCGGGACTTTTCCTCGGGAGATCTGAAGAAGCAGCCGCAGCGGTTGGCCGTACCGCTTGGGAGGGTCGGGTCGCCAGGCTGAGCCGCAGAGCCCAAGCAGGGGCTCCAAGGAGCGCCGAACAAGCGGGTCCCTTTACCCGCATTGCTGCGTTAATAGCCAAGCTAACCCGTGCCGTCTGATTATGGAAACCAAAAACCAATTGTGTTATTCTTTTCGCCTCGGAAAGGTCATTCCAAAATTCAGCAACTAGCAATCCCGATCCTAAAATAAAGGGATTTGATTTAAAAGGGAGTGAATCCCAGTTCCTCCTCAGCAACCTGGTCCGGGGTTGTGGCAGGGAATCCCGCCGCCAGTCCCTTAAATGCAGCGGGGCTGCACGCATTGGTTGCGGGTAAACGCTCCTGGGGAGAGGGCCGTTCTGCTTCCAAGGAACGATGCGTAGGATCTGGGTGTAAATTGACTTAATGCCTCAACCGGAAAATCGGGATCAAGCCAAATGCTTGGATTTAACCGAACTGCCGGTGGGGGCCCCGGCTGGCTTCCTTGTGCTTAGCGCTCTCCTGACAGTCATCTGCCATACTGAGGGCAAGTCAAGCTCTCTCAGAACCCTTGGCGAAATCCTCAGGTGCCTGTAAATAATTAAGATGGCACTCACCATCCTTTCCCTCTTGTCCTTAATGAGACTAATATCCAGTCACCAGAGGATCCTAGATTTAAACAGGGACGTATTGTAGACCCGGGTGTGGGAGCCATGATGGTCTTCATATAGGGTATATTTATTATTCTGCCCCATCTGCTACCATAGTTGACACTGCTTATTTCATTAAACTCTCCATTTCTACATAAAGGTTCTCATGCATTCACACACATGCAAAGACGTTCATTTCGGACTGGCAACTTTATGCTTGTTTGGCCAAAATACATAATGAAAATCATAGGGTAAGTTTATGCCATCCTTTTCTTAGTTTCAGCTGCAGTCCTAGTCACCATCGACCTGACCTTGGGAGAGTCTGCAGCTGCTCTGGGATTTCAGTAGAAACCAGCTGACTTTCCTTTAGTTTCCAGCCAAATAGAAGCGGTGAGAAGCAAAGGCCTGACACACCACTGCTTTTATCCTATTGAGCCAAAGCCTTCTCAGATAGGTGGCACAGTGGAGGCGGAAGCTTGGAGCTGGATTTAGCCATCATTTAAAATGAGTCAGTGAAATCAATGGGACTTCTTTCAGCCTTGACTCAATGAGATCTCCCTGAAATTAATAGGTCTGTTCTGATGAGGGTCAGTTTTAATCTAGCCCTGAATTAATGGTAAGGCTCTTGTTGTGAGCATTCCTTGTAGATTTCTCATGCACTCCTAAGAATATTTACTCAGGAGTAAGCCTCACAGCTAGATATGCATCCTACCACAGGCCACTTAAGGCCTGCAGTCATCTCATTTTGTCTCACTTCTGCCTTCGGCTGTGACTTCTTGATTGAGATCAAGCAGCAATCGTGAAATGAAACAGGATCCCCAAATTTCTAAAATCCACACTTGGAGTGGGGGAACTTTTTCTGTTTTTATTTGTTTGTTTGTTTGTTTGTTTGTTTCAATGGATCAGAGCCTATCCGATTATTTTGTGTGTTTCCCCCCACCTTTCCTTTCCCATTTTCAGGTCACAAACAAGCCATAATTTTCCTTTTAGGAATTTTTCTCCAAGCCACAATCCAAAAAACTTTGATTCTTTGTATAGTTCTATAATTGTGATCAGGGCAGCATTAAGCCCATATGCTGGGATGTAAAGCAACAGACACAAAAAGAAAGTTATCATTCAAGAACTCTGGGATCAGTGTGACCACTTGATCTGTTCCTCCCTTCATGTTTGGAATTGTCTCCCAAACTTTTTCAACCCTTACTCCTCTTCGCAAGAGTGCAGAAAAACTCTTTCCCCAGATATTGATCCTGCTTTAGGGATGAGGCTGGACATTACTTGGGCTCAAATTTCTACATCCAGGTTTCTAGTTTGTGCATGAAATGCACTTTTCCTTTTTCAGTGAGTTCAGCATTTCACATGCACAAAAATTACATATGTATACATATTTCTATCAGGTCTGCCAATTAAACATCTTTGTAACAACTCCTTGCCTATCATACTTCAGCCTAACACTACCCCTAGGTGAAATCTGTTCTCACTTTTCTTAGCCACACTCCTGGTAACAGTAGTAGTAAAATAGTTGTTCTGGTGCTTCTTGTATTATTAAGTTCAAGGGTATGCTTAGATTTTGTTAGCGGAAACCCAAAAATAAGATCTTGAGGTGCTGTTGAAAAGCTTCAATTACTTACCCAGCCTAAATGAAGGGACAGCGGATTTCAGGTGGGGATACCAGGCAGACCAAAAAACCTGAAAGAAAAAGCATTAAGATTAAAATTATTTTAGGCAAGAAAGGCATTAATTCATTGCTCAACTCTTTGAGCAATGGACTGTTTCCTCTTTGCCAGACCCGCCTCTCCCCTTTTTACAATCATACCATTCCTTCCCTTCCTTTTCTTCCTCCACTTCTCCCTCCCATTTCCTTCCTTCTTTCCTCTTTTTGGGGAGGGAGGGGATTATTTTTGCCATATATGTATCATTCATATATGTACTGAACAATCAGGAATCATTTTATATCAGAGGAATCTTATAAAGACCAGGAGGTCTCATAAGCTGGAATAATGTGGCTTGCAAAAAGAGATTCATTAATAAATTCTTCCACATGGATATTATGGTCCTATAGTCAGATCTTTTTTCATTGCACCCCAGATCTTGGTTGCTTTCTGGAACGTGGAAAGGTTTACATTTAAGTGGCAGTAAATGGTAGTGTCAATGGCTAGTCTCAATGCCAAATATTCTCCTGCCATCTTTGTAAATGTAAATATTTGTAACATAACGCAACCAATCAAACATTTTAACTATAGGCATGCTTTTATATCAACCACACAATATTATTGTATTCTGGTATATGATTCACTGGCTGACAATATATAGATATACTTACATCATAATATCATATTATAATAATACATTTGAACTGAGGCAATCAAACTTCTTCCTTGTTTTATTATCAATCCATTTTAATAGATAAGATTTTCCACCAAAATACAGGCAGGCACAAAGATACTTACAGGGAAGCATTGTTAAATACTCGCATTAACCTCTGGATGCTGGGAGGGGGGTAGGCAGAGACCTTTTCTCGTTTGTTTTAATCATATTACGGATAGGAACGGCAGCCAATCCTAAAAGAGAAGCTGAACAATTAGCAGCGCGAAGATTAAAAAAAAGTTTTATGGCTCAGAGCGAAATGCCCCTCCCCGGCCTTCCTTGATTGGCCGAAAGAGCCTCTGACGACATATATTAACCCGAACTGCCCTAAAGATGTAGCTGTACATGGAGATCAAGCTGGGAAATTCGACCAGTGCTCTGCGCAGCTCCGAGGCTGCGATCTAAGCGTTGTGTTTTGTTTCCTCCTCTCCCTCTTTTTCCCTCTTTCGCCCCTTTTCGGGACCATCCTTATCACCCTCCTCTGCGGGTTCTACGTCGGAGCAGGAAGACCGCCGGATTTCCCCCCACACGAAGACGGACTGGCTGGGTTTTCTATCCCCGGGAGCTGAGTAAGAGGAGCTAAAACCCAAGAGAAGGAGAGCTGCGCACACTTCAGTCGAAGGAGTCGCGATTCCCGACCAGGCGGCGGGCCTGGGGAGCAGGGCGGCAGAGGGGAGGGGGGCGTGGGGAAGTTGGAAAAATGCAGGTGTAAGTAAACATCCCTTTAACCCGCCCACTTTATTGCTATTTTGTTCTATAACGACTCGGAAGAACGCAAAGGGAGGACAGCCAATCCATTTGGGGAGGGGGCTGCTTTCCTTGCCTTTTCTGGAGCGGGTGCTCGCTTCCAAGGTTAAGCCCCCTCCTCCCGCCCCGTATGAGTGCGGCGGTGGGGACTGATCCTGCCCTCTCGGCGCCCGGGGGACTCGGCAGCGCCTGCCCGATGGCGCCGAGCTTGGGCTAAGGCGGGGGTCTTCACGGGAGCGGAGATCCAGGGGAGCGGATCCGGGGTGGCGGGCGGCCGCGGGGGCCGCCCCGCCACTACCAGGGGGAGCCACTCCGCCCACGTAGTGGTGGGGATGCTCCAGGCCTGGCGCTCCGTTGGCGTACTCGGGGCTGTACGAAAGCGCCATGCTATAG